ATTCATTGCGGTGATGTTAGATTACTGATGTAAACACTCAGCTGAAGCACTTACACCCCCGTCTCACCTTGTTATTCTCAAATATACTAAATGAGTCATTAACAAACCTTTTTTTTCTGGAAGAAAAGGACCTACAGATGTTTTGAAAAAACTGTAAAGGATGTTCAAGAACCCTTAACGCTTTTCTGAAGGACATTCCTAATCATGATAAAAGATTTCTGCCCAGGTAACCATTAGCTACCATCTTTGTTTAGGTGAGGAATTTTAGGATAAGACGTTTTCTTTTATGTTTTGTGTTTTCATCCAGGAGGGAAGAGTTTTGGAGGATTCCTGAAATACCTTGAGAACAGTGTTAAGTATTTTAAACAACCTTCTGGCTTTTTAAAGTATCACCACATATTTATCTTTTAGAGAAATGGATCTGAGCTCTGACTCAAATATTTTGCTAAAACATTGGAGACAGAAAGAGGGTCCTCACAGAGCCTCTAGCACGGCTGTAGACTCTAAGCCTTGTTTTACTATCCTTTCATATCGTCAAATGTCAATGTGTTGCAGGCTCGAAGGCAAGAAATCATTAATGGATGACTCTGGCAGAGCTTTATGAAGGTGATGGCTTCCATCGTTTTCTCCCCCCATCAACTGCAATCCATCATCTGCATCAGGCTTCAGTTAAACAGGAAAATCAGGAACACTCAAAATTCTCTTGGCCCGGTGCCTCTGACATGCTGGCTTAATTTTACCTTCCATTTCAGCTTGGAGCATTTACATAAAACACAGCGAAAAGTAGTACACATAATGGTCCCCTTTGGCCAAGAGCTTTAAGGTCCTGTCCACAGTCCCAGTGAGGGGCAGTCAAGCTGCCTCTGCTCTGCTCTGTTTGTTTTATGGAGCAGTAGTGAAACCACTTTGAGGTCAGCAAGCAGCAAAAACTGTGCTGGGTCTCCTATGGTCTGCTGAAAAAGGTTCCAAAACCAATCCAGGGAGCCATTTCTAGTAGTCCAGCCAAGTTTCATTGACAAAAAGAGGTCATTACTCTGTGCACAGCTTCAGCAATAACAGGATCAAATGCTCTGATGGCTTGTAATGGAGACATTTTACTCGTGTTAGGGCTGCTGGCCCTGCCGATCAATTCCTCTTGCAAAGGTGGCTCTACAGGAAGAGGCACATCATTAAAAAAGCCCAAAATGTCCCCGTTCACAACGTGCAGCGATAAAGGTACTCCATTTGCACACCCTGAATTAATTTGAGTGCTGTCATTATGCAAGTACAGCACAAATTGTCCAAGACCAAGTGAAACTATTTATAGCTATCACAAGGCTTGAGAGCCAAGTGTGCCTAATGGTGTAATTTGTATTGTTAATGGTAATGCACTATTAGTTTGTTCCATTTGGCTTTGCACAGGTGCATTAATGGGGGCTTGGTGAACGGTTTCAGCCAGTCCATGTTCCCATGCTGTTCTGTGGAGGCTCTCTGAAGGACCACGGCTCCCTCTAGTGGCTCAGAGCGGAACAGAGGGACAGAGATGGAGGCAAAAACTGAGCACTTGAACAAACAGACTGAGGCCGAGGTTGGACAGAGAAGCATGTAATTATACTGAAACAAAAGACACATTTTGTTGAGTAGATAACAACAAGAGGGAAGACTTGCACAGTTCTTAAATTGTGCACGAGAGCAAACAAACTCACCAACAAGCGGTTCCCACAACAACAAAGCAGGGTAGACTTAAAATATTGTGTTCCTAATTAACCTTCAAGCTCATCAGCCACAATCAATATAGAGTGCAGCTTCTTTTTTCTAATTGAGATGAAGTAATTATCAGACTGTATTCATCTCGTTAATGAAACAATGTTCCAATATGCCTGCAGCTAAACTGTTAATTGAGTTCTATTTTCTGAGACGGGCAGCCTTTCCTTGTGTCCATGGCCACATAGCGTCAAATATGGGTTGGGGCCTTTGTGCTCATCTCTGTGTAGACACAAGAACAGGCTGTGGACTGGTGGAGCGTGCGAGTGCTTCTCCCTGCAGACACTCTCCCTCCCGCCTGTCTGTTCTCCCATCAGAGTTGAGGCAAGAGTCGGTAATAGCGCTGACTTCAGCAGATCATCCCTTCCCAGTCTGTTATTTCACGGTTTCAGTGGTTAAGTACTCCCTGTTGAGTAAGATATAGCGAGGCAATTATTCTGTAATTATGGAGCCAAAAGACGAGAAATTGAGTCAAGAGTGACTGGGCTCATGCAAATCACTGCAAGAGAGCCAAAAAGGGTGCAAAAAGCAGCCTGACTGTCCACATATGGGAGAAGGGATTTCTCTCATGTTCTGTATGAAATTAAATCTCCCATTGTTACATAATCAACTATAAAAACGGTCCAAACTGATTTCAAACGCTTCAGTAAAAGAACCCCAAATCAATAAAGTTTAGTCTCAAACTACATTTAAAGTGGTAGTCCCAATTATCATCACATCAATGACTATTAATGAGGAACAGGAAGCACTGCAGCTTATGAAAACAGACCATGAAGCGTGATCGGGTTCTTTTAATTTGTGCTCTCACACGACATATTTGAAGGAAAAGCTTCCATTGCAACCACTTAATTGTTTAGTCAATGAATATGATGTGATTTTATAATCCTTCTTCATGTCTTTGTGCTCGGTTCAAGGTTTTTTCTTTTACTTAAGGATTTTTTTCCCTTTCATTTAATTTTTATTGTAAGCTGAATATGTTTGTGTTTTACTTTATGGGACCAAACATGCAATTTGTTTGGTCCCGAATACTCCCACATATGAAGATGGTGAATGGATTTTTTGGGTTGTTTGTTTACAGATGAATGGAGTTGCAGTTTAGGATGTTTTGATTATTGAACACACTTAATGGACTAAAATGTTTGATTTTTTTCATGCCCTGGAAAGATTAACTCCAAAGTGAAACAATGGCCTAAAGAAAGGCAAATATGTGAACACTAAATTACAGGTTTCATTAAAGCACTTTTCATTTTCTTTGTTCATAGTTGTTTGTTCAGTTATTGTTCTTAATTCTTAGTCATTGTCATGAATCTGCGTGTCTATTTAGTGTTTGTTTGTTTGTTTGTATGTTGCTGCTTATCTTATGTCTGCATTACTGTCAGTTTTTATGTCTATTTTACAGTGTTGTTGTATCATGTATATTATTCCCTTAAAGCCTTACCATGGACAAAGACTGCAAAGTAGATATGGCTAGAAGTCCTATATACATTGCATCAGATGCACTTAAACTAAAAGAATTAGATATATGAATCCATCCATGAAAAAGTCAATGTAATAGTTTTAGATGAGACTGGAGCGATGAAAACAGTCCTTCATGGTACCCAGGGAACGTATCCTGTTTTTGTTGAGCTCCAGTTTTCACCTGTTGACATCCTAACGTTAACATTCATGGTTTTCATGTCAGATGTTTTCGTAACTCTTGGGTTGATTGCCATGGAATTCGCTACGAATATTCAATCCCCGTCAGCATAAAGTGTAATTACTTTATAGATCCCTTTAAATTTAAAATTAACTTTATTGTCCCAGTGGAAAATTTGCCTTAGACTTCACAGTGCTCTGATGCAATAGCAAAATAACTAAATATATTAATTCGTCAGTAAAACATCGTCTGTTTACTTTCCCTTCAGCGCCATCAACCGGTCAAAAGTTAAATTTGTCCAATATCTTCATCACAAAAAAGTGCAAAGTAATGACAATCATATCAACCTCAACTGCACTTAGCTTATTTTACATATTTAATATCACATTTGCTAAGCATCAACTGTTTGTATGTTTAGAGCACACAAACAGAATACTGGTGGTGTGATCAATCCAACTGCTACTATACAATCAGTCACCAAATAATAGAACAATAATGAAAGGGGATCTGTCAGCAGCACTGCGAGCCATATCATTACAATTTAAAGGTTTCTAACTGACCATGTTTTAAGGGAACATATCTTTATAATTCTTGATTTATTTGAATATAAAGATATCAGTCTCATTGGGAGAGCTTCTATTATTAATGGTAAATGGACTTGAGCTTGTGTAGCACTTTCCACATCTTCTGACTACTCAAAGCAGCCTCTGCCATTACACACAGATGACAGAGTGGATGTTGCTGCAGGAGCTGGGAATCAAACCCCCGACCTTCCAGTTGTGAGACGACTGACCCGACTCAACTGAGCGGCTGTAAAAGCCATTGGTGTTTTAAGATAATGCTTTAACATTGGATTTGGACATGATTAATTTTACAAGCTAAAAAGAGATTCCATTAAGAGCCAGAGGTTTAGGAGTTTGATCATCTTTGTGAAGGATCAGTGTGCTTGTTCAGCACTAAGGACTACAAATGTAAGCTCAAGTTTTGTACTTGAGTTTTGCTTGTTGAATTTGTGTCCCAGAAAACGAGCAGGTTTTCTTGCAGGTCCCAGAAATGTATTAAAGTGCAATACCAACAAGGGGAGAACCCCTTTTACCCCTCAGGAAGTCTGTGCAAATAATTTTTGGTTTAGCACAGACTTCCACACTTTCGCCATAAAAATGGATTTGAAGGTCAGCGTGCATGTGTCATCTCGACAGCATTTCTACAACTCAGGAAACGTGTACATGGCATATTAATATATTTATATTGTTCTGTGTTTTTCTTCTCTCTTACGAAATCTGTGTCTTTGTGCGTGTGTATAGATGACTGATTGATCTGTATTTTACTTTGGTCATCATCTGCCCAGGGACAACAGATGGAAATGAGCTAGTTAGCTAAATCTGCTACAAAGCACATTTTCTCTTCTGAGACAGATGTTATTTTGTACAGTGTCCCTGATTCAAATAAGCTAATATACTAAATAAAAAATTTAAAAAACACTACAGTAGTACAGCAATGTATGATACATAGAGGTTCTAAGACTCTTCTTGTTCATCAGCGTCTCCAGGACTTATACAACACAAAAACAATCAGGAGCTTAAATCAACAGTTCTGAGCAGAAATAACAGGAAGCATCAAATGAGGCAAGAAATCTGTTTATGTCTCAATGTTTTGTTTTAAAGGATTAAGTGTGAACAGATGAAAAACAGAAATTGAAGTTTGTAAGAATACACACACAAGAAAATAAAATATGGATGAGGGGTCACTTAGCTGAAATGAAATGTCTTGTAGATTATGATTAAGGCACTCTCAGTTTGTGACCAAGTGAAAGCTGTGCTAAACCCTGTACTCCTAAAACTCCCTCCTCTTCTGATTAGAGCCTCCTCCTCCTGCTGCAGCTGTGCTCCTCTCACAGACGAACACTGAAGCCTACCTGACATATAAATGATGCACAACACAGCCTCTGTGATAAAATACTGATATGATGCCGAACATTGAGAACATCTCAGAGGAATAAAAAAAATGCAGTCATCCAGTCTGGATGTTTGGTCCTAGAATACGTTCACAGCAGAGCAGAGCAGACAAACGCAGCTTTGTTCAACAGTTTTATCTTCTGTCACTTGTGAACAAGACATTGTGCATTTAAAATGTAGTGTGCAAAACCGTAAAAAAAGATAACATGGAGCTTTCTGAGCTTGTTTCATATTCAAACCTGCCAGAGGACAGAAAAATGTGACATATGGTTTTAAACTTGATAAACTTGGATAAAGTAATTGCTTTTAATGGTCTGCCAAAAAGAAAAGAAAGAAACACAGAGCGTGATAAACTGAAGGCTGCTTCTGTTTGGGTTTGTAGACACATTCAGGAACTTTCTCAACCTCTCGCCCTCGGCTTGAATCCTTTCCCTGTGTTCAGATTGACAGTCTATCCACATTAAGTCTTCTCAGCAGCTGCACCAGCATTACAAAAATTAGACACATTCCCCATAAAAAATAAAAAAAATTCCACTGTACAGTCTGAGAGTGATTGTCTGTGACAGGCTCTAACTTTGAATCCCAGAAAACACGTTCACTGGCATCGCTTGGTGAACTCTTGTGTCCTCTCCTCCCAGTGTATACGACTTCTAAAAGAGTCCTCATAAAGTCCCTGTGCAGCCCGCGTCAGCCCAGCTGCACTTTTAGCTCACTTTGGGGTAAATCTTCTCGTAGAAGAAGCTCTGAGCCAGGACAAAAAGCTCTCCATCCTTCTCCCTGACAGCGTGGGCTCGCACAAACTGAAACTGTTCGAGTGCAAACTCATAAAACTCATTTTCCATTTTCCAGATGTTGGACTGCTGCAGCTTGGAGATTGTCTCTTTGGTTGGGGGCTTCTTTTCGGTGGTCTTTCGCAGATGTGACTTCTTTCCTGGAGGAACATCAAGAGAGTTTAATGAGTCTGTCAGTCTAGACGAGCTTGGTAACGTACATAATCCACTAGAAATATTATCATTTTCCTGCCAACAGACGCCACAAGCAGAAAGAACATTTAACAGAAAAGTTGGAGGCGTAGAGGTTTGATGTGAGGCTCTGAGGTTTGTGTTAGTACCTGTTCTGTAGAGGTCTGTGGCCCCCTTAAAGAAGCGTGGCAGTGCAGCCTCCAGGATCATGATGAAGTCCTCCAACTCCTCGGTCACTCCAACCAGCAGGTACTCGTTCACCAGGTTGAACTTGGCTTGCTCCAGAGCCCACCTGCTGCCTGCATTCCTGCACAAAGCCACACATGGAACCAATCAGATCGATAATTATGTGTATAGTGTGTCTGCATAATGTAGATATGGGGGACTTCCCTCTGATTTTTGAACGCTCAATGATGCTCAGTATAACATAAGATAAAAACTGAATCTCATTTCATCTAGTTTTATTACATTTTGAACCTCCTGTGTTTCCTCATTTAGAATAAATGATAGCGTTTCCTCAGTAACTGTTCTTATCTAGTTATTTTTACCTTAGTTTTTGGATTGTGGGATAGGGGTGGGGGAGGGAGTCATGTTGTTGCTGTTTGATTAAATGTTGATGTAAAGCACTTTGGGATACATCTGTTGTATGAAAAGTGCTATACAAATAAAGTTTGATTGATTGATTGATTGATTGATTGATTGATTGATTGATTGATTGATTGATTGATTGATTGATTGTCCCCAAAGGGAAATTATTCTTGGCCTCTGTCCTGGAGTTAAAAGAGAATAATTATGTGCTAAAAGACTGAACATTTAAAAAGAAACGTACACATCCATGTGCATTTCAGACAGGAAGCCTCCTGTGTTGTGATCATTTTATTTTCATTTGCCTACAGCTGTTTAAATTAGTTATATAACTAGTTAGATGTAGTTAGCAGAGTAAAAAACATGTGACACATTATAAAGAGGATCCCTTGAAGTAATCAACTAAGAATAAACTTCTTCATAGAGATTTTTACTGGAGGTTCAACTGATACTCTTTTTATTTCTGGCCAGCAATTTTTGTCCAAGTAAGTGAGTCATTAAGTAAGTAGGTAGTAGGAATGCAAAAATTCTCATTACAATATTGAACTGTTCGGTACGGTATCCCTGGTTCAATACGCACTTGTCATTGTGTTTTTTACGGTTCTGTGTACAACGTGCTTCCATGTAAAGTATTTCTCTCGGATGTGGCTCTGTTTGTGTGTGCCTGTGAGTCCATATTTTTAGACACATTATATGTTTTATTGATCAATAAATACAAATTTCAGGTGACTCTGTTTGAATTCCATGCGACCCTACATGGGGTCAGGGCCCCAAGGTTGGGAAAGCCTGCCTTAACCCTTTGCTGTTCCTGTCAAATTTGCCTAAAACCCCTAATAATGGAATGAAAAAAAAAACATATTTACATTATTTGCACGCTTTACGCAGCAACAAAGTGAGATATTTCCTTTAAAAGCTGATAGACAAAAACCAGTGACACACATTTTAAATGATTGATTACACTGCTGTGAAACTGCTAGATGTGTAAAATACTGTTTGCCAGCAAGTTCACCAAACCAATTTCAAAAGTGATGATGCATCAATGCTGTTCAAGATTTGTTTCCTTTACTGAGAGCGGCAGCAAAGTTACAGTGAAAATAAACCAAACTGTTCCTTAGTTTTCATGTTACACCAAACATAATTCAGTGATACTTGAATGTTTTACTCACTGCAGTTTACACAGTTATTTGTTTAAATGATGACAGAATCTCTGTTATCCTAAAACTACAAACATCTGCACAGATTGTGAGCTCCTCGTGATGAGGCAGGTTTTGACTCACCAGCACTCTGAATGATGACCACAGAAGAAGGGGATCTGCATCCAGAGTTTCTCCGCAGCACAGTCGGACCCTCCTGATGACACACACTCATCAAATGTCTGGAAGACAACAGAAGCGTCACTATCATGTATTCAGCATGTGGATCAACAACCTTATCAGAGTGAAGCTGTAAAATAAAAACCTTTTTGTCCCCTTGTTTTCTACGTCGTAGTCCGGGTCTGTAGTCGTCTCCGAAACGTAAGAAGTAGTAGTAGGACACCAGGCGCTCTATCGGGTCCCGCACTACATTGATGTACATCGGCTTACTCTTCGCACTGTATCTAAAGAACAAAGAAAGCTTATTATATATTTTCTGAAGACTTGGTTCCCATTAAGCAGACACCTGAGGACTTTTTTCCAAGTCCAGCAGACGTCAGACCTTAAAGCCGCCCCTCTGAACCTCACTGATAGAGTCTGTCCTACTTAAGAATCAGCCTTTCCATCAGTGAATGTATAGCAGCATCAGGAGGCTACGCTAACAAACACTTAGACCATTACAATCATGAGCAGAGGAATAAAAGTGTCAGGTTAGATAAGAAATCAATACATGACCTCATCTTATCTGCTAACTGTAAATAATCTGGATATGAATTAAAGGTAAATGAAGGGCTTTACTTGGAGAAGTCCAGATAGGCTACGTGCCCGTGGTAGAAGCCGGGCTTCATCGCTCTCCACGACGTGACGTTCCTGACAAAGCGAACCTGTAGACAAAGATTATGATGTTAGATATAGAGCAGCAGGAAGCAGAAGAAAGTGGAAAAACACTTGTACCTGCATACTCAATACCGGCTCAGGTCATTTCATAGTTTTAGTTATTTTTACTTCAATGACTCAGTTTTATATTTAATGAATAAGACCTGTTTTTATTAGTTTTTTAAAATTAATATCATTCACAACATCTAACATACTATTAACAAGAGCGAGATAGTACACTACAGGACTTTTACTAACACATCTTTGAGTTAGTATAGTTATCTTGTCTTTATTATTTAACACAAATCTTTGCCTGTGAACTTCAATTTTAAACTTGATCATTTTTGAGACTCTCTATAGAGAGTCAAAACATTTATAGAGGAACATTGAAGTATATCAATATGTCCTTACAAACCTTCCATCAGACTCTACTTATTCAACATTTTCTTTCCCATTTTACCAACAACATTCAAACTTTCTGCAGCAATGAAAAATAAATAAATAATCCTCTGCACACAGAAAATGACTTTACTGTAACTTTATAGTAAGTGAACAATGCATCTCGCCTGTAGCTTCCTCAGGGTAGCCCAGCATGAACTACAGGTGAAACGCGTTGTTCACTCAATATAAAGTTACAGTGGGTTGGCTGTGCACGGGGTCCCCTGCTGGTCATTTTTATTTCTGCAGCAATGTTTCGATTCATCTTGCAGTTGACAAGTAGAGTGTAAAAGTGTTGAATTTACACTCACACTGATAGAGGGTGTTTTAAATGCATGTTAACTACACGGCAGTGTAATTACTGCTTTATATCATGCAGAGTTATTACTCTGTTTGTAGAAACAACGCCGCATTAAAAGCATACGTTAGTTTTTAATCCCCAACAAACATTCAGATGAGGTAAAAAAAAATCCTCCTGGTAGAGCCTGCAGCCTTCCTTTCTAAACTGCATCAACGCTGTCCATCAAAAAGTTAAGGTTGACTGTTTGAAGCCTGAAGGCAAATTCTGCAGCCAGCAAACATTGGAAAGCAGCTCAGAAAAGCCTGAGAGGAGCGTTCATCCTGATTATAGTGACAGGTAAGATGAAGTTATGAAGATCTGAAGCAATAAAAGTGTTTCACAAACTTCTCTGCTGTGGAAACTTCACCCTTAGTGGAAAAGCATAAAACACAAATCACACTGCTCAGATTATTTAAATGCTTCACTGCTATAACTCTGACTTCAAACTTTAATGAACATGTTAATGACTTAACATCAGCTGATGTCATCTCCACCTGCTGTCCTTTTTGGTTCTAAATAACCACAGCAGCACATCGTCTCCATTTATGATATGATTTATTATGTTATCTTTGACACACACTCTGTGGTCTGAGGGAGTAATAACATGACAAACTCAATCACAGTGACCAGCTTTGGCGAGGCTAAATGCTATTACTGGATACAACTCTGAATGTTCCTGTAGTGAAATGTGCCAGCAGACTGATGCTTTCACCCTGTGTGCAGGATGGAGGGGGCAGCCCGTTGTGAGGAGGCAGACAGGATATTACCTTGGCACCAACAGCCAGAAATAACACCAGTTTAGCTTTGAGGCATTCACACACACTATGTGTCCTGAGCTGCACTGATAGAAATACAAAAGCAGCCAGTGGAACAGGCTGTAATGACTGCTGATGCCCCCCATATTCTCTGGAGCTCTTCAGACATGCACACAGAGTCTATGTATATGAAAGAAAGACTAAACTTATAGCTAACCACAGCTCAAATCCTATTCTCCTGTTATGGTTTCCACAACCAATTGAGGCTTAAGCAGCTTATTCTGATTTTAGTAGACAGATCTCTCCTACCCTTATATTTCATCATGACACTTCAGAATGCTGAAGAGACAGATATGTGTTTTATTCCTGCTGATTTTATATATATATATATATATATATATATATATATATATATAAACAACTTTTTTAATAAGGTTGTCATAACAACTTTTGTTAAACTGGATACGAGCAAACAGTACCCATGTGTGTTTTGACATCCTTCCTACATACAGCTGTAAAGTACATGGACATTCATCACTCAGAAGCAGTCCTTAAAGGTGACATATTTTTTTTTCTTCACAACCAGTTTAAATAAGTCTCAGATCTCCCTAAAACGTGTCTGTGAAGTTTCTTGTTATAAATCCACTCTGATCCTGTATTTGATCATGTCTATAAACCCCTTTATTTCAGGCCTGCTCAGAACAGGCTGTTTCTGTGTCTGTAGCTTTAAATGCAAATGAGCGGTGTCTGACCACGCCCCCTCTCTGGAAGGGCTTCGGTGGCTCTGGCTTTCTTGCACCATGTCCTATTGTTTACGGTGAGTAGGCCGACTCAGAGGGGAGAACAAACACCTAGCTGTGGGAGTGTCACCCACCTGGGGGAGGGGTTACGGCCCTTTGTGATGTCATGAAGGGAAACTCTCCAACTGTCTGTTTGAACACACATTTTCTGAAAAGTGGAGAGGATTGTCTTTTCTCATAAATGGGGGGTTTGTAGACAGACTAGAGGAGAGAGAACAGGGTGAAGTGTTAGTGTTGAAAAAAAAAAGTCGAAGAGCATAGATGCTCTTAGGCATTACACATATCAGTACAGATTTCTGTTTGTAGACATTAATGAATGCTAAATGGTTAGCTGCCTGCTGATGGGTTCCGGGATGCATTACAGCTGATGCTTTCCGCCTCTATTGGTCCGCACACAGAATGTTTCCATGAATACAGCAATGTAGCTGACATGCAAGTGGACAGTACTTATTGATCTACAGACACAAGACTACTTCCAACACCAACATCCTATCTTGTGCATATATATTTTGCAATTTTATGCTGAATCTGTAAATAAATATGACAATTAGATGAACATGTGCCGTCAGTACGTAGTTCCCCATTCCTGTAATAATGCACATGGAGAACAGATGTAAGAGTGCATTGTTACTTAACCGGAATTTTACTATGTTTCAGTGTTGCAGACGAGACTGAAGACAGAAACTTTTATCTGCCATCCCTGTGTGACTGACTTGTTAGCATTAGTTTGTCATGTACAAAAAGTACACAGGCAGGGTTGGCACAGGAGGACAGGCTGGTAGTTAATGCTAATGCTAAAACACAAACTGCTAACTCACTCTGCAACCTCAATCAACAACTTTTATCTCTGGCAACTGTCTACAGTGTCATCATATAAGTGCAACTGAATGATGGGAGTCGACGGCATGTCTCTGCTTGAATCTTTTAAAAAAAAATTTATTCACATTGAAGTCTTATGATTTATCAGACATTCAATACAATATCTGATATCACACTGACTTATACAGACTGCAGCCAAGACGTCTTCACTAGTGTGATTTTCAAAATAAGACACATTATTTGAAAGGTTAAGGACATTAGTAGAACCCAGTATCCATTATTTTATTACAGATTACACAGTTGGAATGATGGCTGTATTTCTGACTGCACTAAACTTTTAACACTGATTCATTGTATGAGCGTCTGAGAGTAAAAAACAAGACCAATCTTTCCAAAGTGGTTAAAGAAAGCAGAAGCACCACAGGCTGGAACAAACCTGACTGTCATGTCGTCACTGAAGGCAGTCCAACGACTAAGTGGGAACATTTTCGATGACCTCACACAGCTCAGTATTTCATATTGTTTTTCTGATGTTCACCATTGATAACCAAGTGCTCTCCTTTGATGAAGCTCTATTGTGTCTGTTTTGATCAAGATCATGTTGTGTTCTTTAAGCGTTTAAAATTGTTTTATTAAAGGCATGTATTTTCAAAGACAAAGTGTTTTCTGTTCTATTGGATTTTATTACTCTGGAAAATATCATGTACACCAAAACCTCTTAAAAAGCATCAACACAGCAAATATTATTGGTTTGCTTAGAAACCATCTTTAAAACAATGTGTAGCCTGATAGAAATGAAGAGAAAAAGCACAACTATTAAAACTGTATCCTTTCATTCTGCATATTCTCCTTCATAAGTCACTCACAGATCTGAACTATTAGCAGATGCTTTTGAGAAGATCACAGAAACAGAGTTTACAGTCGGAGCCTTCACTAACAAACACTGCTGGTGAAGTTCAACACAGCACAGATGTGAGGCCTGTTAACAGAGCCGTGCTCAAAGCCCTTAATTATATTTATATTTATATCTTGCAGAGTCTTAAAGGCAGAACCATGTGAAGATGTTTCGCGTTACAAAGCTTTGGCCACAACAATAGCCTATTTTTAATTCCATATTTTGATTGTTTTTTCATCAAAGCACCCACAAGCCTGTCATAAGCCCAGTCACTGTTATGCCAACAAAGGACTCTTCTATCTTTGTTTCTTTGTTGTATTGAGCGCTCTATTATAAGCACGGTGACAGAGCTGAGCCCATGGTTGAGGTAGAGTTGAGTTTCTCTGTAGCAGCTTTGGAAATGTGCAAGGAAAAATAAAGTAAGTCATGGTCCAGGGTCTTACCTGGTCCTGCAAAGACATGACAGGATTGTTTTTGGTCGTGTTGATGTGCAGGACGTGGAAGCGGTTTTTCCCACACAGGTCATAGGCGATGTTGGTGAACGATGTGCTGGCCGTCTTAGGTACTCTGTTGTAGATGATGACCATGTCGTCTCTTTCTGACAGCGGTGACGATTCCCGGCCCGAATCTTCACTGTGACGCTGCTCCACTTCAGCCACCTGGTGTCGGGCAATGGTGTGTTCTGAACGGCCAAAAAGGTAGAATATTTATGAGATGTTTCACTATTGAATAAAAAAATCAAGTGTTGATGCTCTGTTTCAACTTTGTATCCCTCTTTTTTAATTTAGCGCCACGCTGAACTCCAACTTCAGCCTACATGAGTCTCATGTTTTAACTGTAAGACATCACAGTGAGAGGACCAATAACAACATATCTACTGAATTAAATCTTACTGTATCGTCAGACAGTAAGGTAACATGCTATGTTGAAGGGCTGGCTTCTCTGAGAACAACGTAGCAGCCAGTATGTCCTCCTTCTAAGTTTAGATTCTGGTCCTGAATGCTCTATTTTTGTTATGAAGGTAGGCAGTTTCAAGGCGCCCCCAGACAGCCGATGCAGAGCTGGCTAAACACTGAAGCTTCAGTGTCAGCAACATGGCAACCTGCGTGCACATCAACTCTAGAGAGGAGGGGGCAGGAGAGACAGCTCTCTTCAATGTTTTGAATTTAGACTGTAGTACCCATTTTTAATGCTAGGTGTCAGTGTTACATATAGCTCCTTTAATGTTAATGTGAAATCTGACTTTATTAAGTGGATCCGTTTGTTTTGAAGAGGATGAGACCTCTGTGAATAACTTGGCTCAAAGTAAAATCTTTTTGAAATGAACACCAAAGGAGTCCGAGACTGAAAACAAGAACGGCATCTTCAAGTAAACAAGCTTCAAATCACCTCACAGACCCCACCTGACGTGACGACTGACAAGTGTAAGAGAATCAGTGATTGTTCACATTAAACTGCGTCATCCAATGTTTTCCCAGGTTTGATCAACAGGTTTGGTTGTTTTGGAGAGGAGACCTCTCTGTTCCAGTGAACAAAAACACTCCTGAACAATAAACCCTGAAGAGTCAAAGTGAAGACGAGTGTGTAAAGTTAAAGCCTTCATGCTGCTGCTCTGTGAAAAAGGACTCAGCTAAATGAAACAAAGGAGCAGAGATTTGACTGACAAATATCTGTCAACTTGTGGTCTTCTTGACTGAATAAATCATCGACTTTTAGGTGGGGAACCATGATATTTACAGTCACTGATCAGACAGATATTTATCTTTAAAAGGAAAGTCAAAAGTTGTTCATTTTAATTACTGGTTGTTGGTGGAAAGCAGTTCCAAAGTCAATCAATATAATCCTGAATGTATCTAATTGAGGACTGGCTGACATCCAACTGCTTTGAATGATCTTAAAGTTAGTTGATGCTTGTTGTCTTTTCATATTGCAGCCAGCAAAGCAGCTGTGAGGACACTAACACAATAATGAACACGGAGCAAAAAGGTACATCTGTTGTATAAATTAACCAGTGGTTTGAAAATTAAGGCCAGTGAGGCCTGTAAGCATGCTTTAATTAAGAAAAACAACAAAAGACAGTAACACTGAAACTAGTAATTAAGCCTTTGATGATAACATTGACAGGAGGCATAATTAAACGTCTTTCTCCCACTTCATGTCTCTGCTGCAATGTTAATTAAAGCCAATTACAGGAATGGCCTTGTGAGGATCTGTAGGAGCAGCTGTGTGTCACTCAATATAATGCAGACATCCTGCTGCAGCCCAGCAGCGTCTGACGCCTGAGAGAGAGAGAGAGAGAGAGAGAGAGAGAGAGAGAGGACATGTGTCTGCAGGATGTTTGTCACTCTGTCTCTGCATGTAAAGGCAGATCGATGGTCCCTTTGTAATTTCCCTTACACGTGCAGGCAGTCAGTTAATGTTTACTGTCTCATTGTTGTAAACATGTATTCTCTGAAGGTAAAATACTCTATATGTGAAGTCTCCTGTCTCCTACCAGCCAATATAGAACTGACATATTGTGCATCACAGCAACATTGGCTGATTTCTAAAAAGATTAAATTAGAAGAGACAGTATTCATCCAATGGGTCCCTGCCAGCCATATCAAAGTCGGTCAATGGTTGTGCTCCAGCGTTCTCATTTCTAACCTGCTCTGATTATGGCTCTAATCCACCTCAGTCTGTTAAACCTGCTTGTACCACAGATTTGAAGGGACATGGGAAGTAACCAGCAGTCAAACTATGAGATGAAATTAAAAGGAGACGCAAAATACCCAGGAAGGTTATTTAAACCAGTGGTTCTCAACTGGTCTAGCCTCAGGACCCACCACCAACTCCTTCATAAGAATTTACGACCCAAATTTCAGTTATTTTTTAAACCAATGAGATTTGTTTAATAATGAAAAAATTGTGCAGTTTGGTCCTCCGACGGTACAAAACATATGACAGAACAACGAGATTAAACAAAAAAGAACATTAAAAGTGATTATTAAACAATCTTTAGTGGCACTTTTTCCCAGGCACACTTTCACGACCCATTTTGTGTCCCGACCCGTCAGGTGAGAAGAACTTGGATGAATGTAAGGGATACACCTGAGTTTAATGTGTGTGATTTTTGACATCAAGTATTTCTTTAACACGTTAGGTCTGTTAAAAACAAGGTGTCCACTTCTAGGATTCCAAACGAAGAAGAAAAGTTGTTGTTTTGTTTTTAATTTCGACACAACAACTAAAGCTGCAAAACAGTTATACCTAAGGTGTTGAACGTGATCGTTTCTCAGACGTGGACGATTCTGCATCCATGCAGTGACGGAACATAATCAATTATTGCACACTGACGTTGTTAGATTTTCCAGCTGTGGACGTTTATAATTGATTTATTTTTGTTTTACATTACATTTATGTTGACAGAGCACTTTCTAAACAGTGGTTCTCCTCTGGACTAGTCTCAGGACCCACCACCATCTCCTTAATGTTAAATCACAACCAGAATGTTGGAGTATTTGAAATAATTCATGACAGAAACAGTGCAGTCTGGAGCTCAGATGGTACAAAACATGTGACAGATAAAGAGACAGAACAAAACACATTTTTTATAGAACTTAACAGACTTTAGACACGTGCAGATCTAGAAAGTTGAAGATGCAAACTATTGTAATGAATCATCATATCAAATCTTTGACAGGATCGTTGTAATCTAACTAATCCAGAGAAGATGAAAGCCGCAGTCATACCTGTCCAAAATGACTTATTAGATGTTCTAAATATGAGTGGGACCAAATATCAATACAGAAACAGATATTCGTCTTGACTCTTTATTTGGCTCTAATCAGATGTAAACAACAATTTTAATCAGCACGTCACTTCTTCATGACTCCTCTAGGTGGTGCTTATGATATCATTGATTTATTTATGGTTTATTTGATAGGGACAGATACAATATACATGGACATGGGGTACTAATTTGCAACACTTGTCCCTAAAAGGGCTTTTTTTTAAATAAAAGATAAAAACATGAATGAATGGTGGCTAAATCAGTCCAGGTGAATCGGCCAAAGATGTTGACAGCGGGATAATGTCAGATTTCTGTGATAGGAAATCACTTAAAAGCACTTAACCTTCTTAGGGTAAATAGTCTTTGGGTTAATCTGATGTCATGATGATGTATCACTTTGTAATTGTCTTGTAATAAACCAACTATCATAGAATCTCTGTTTCATGATTTTATCCTTGTTATTGCAAATCGAGTCGTATCACGAGTAAAAACAATTTAGACAAAAAGAAGCCAAACATTTATACCTTACTTCTACAAGTTTTGCTCTCTGACATTCTTATACAGCTTAGCTGCATGATCAACATTATTTTGACCCTGATTTCTCCTTTGGGTGCTTTCATTTCCTTTAAAAATGATCCACCACAAGACATGTCGAGACAGCTGAGATTTCTTATTCCAGAAAAACCACAACAAAAAATGGTTCATGTTGTTAAATGGCAAAATGTTCAGTGCAGATAAGAGTTTCTCTATGAAGCAAAATGTTGGCACAAAAATCTTCTAGTAAAAAAAGCATGTCAAATATGAGTTTGGTCACACCTCACTGTGCTGTAATGTAAATGTAATATACTGTTTTCTCAGATAATTTACTATATGAATATCTAACCTTACAAGGTTAACCAGTGTAGTTTTGTCTTACCCAGTTTGGCTCTTGACTCCTCCAGTTTCTGGATCTGGTTCTCGATGAAGAGCATGGCCACTCCAAACGCCAAAACAGCCAAGAGCTGGATCTTGGGCGGCATCATGGTCCGTAAAAGCCCCATCAAACAACCGGATGAACCATACCGCTAATACCACTAAAGAGATCAGCTGCTAGTTGCTAATCCAGCTAAGGAGCTTAGTTACTGTCGCTATGGAAACAACAGATGTTCAGCCACTACAAACAAATTAAAATAATTGTCGCAGTCGTGACTAGTTTAACGCTACAAGTTGATACTTGCCATCACAACAATCATCCTACTCTGACAGCCAAACAAACTAGCTAGCCTCTTCGCTAACTCTCATTTAAAGCCACGTCTCCTTCTTCATTAAAAGCGGGTGTTTCTTCGCATTTCTAATTCAGGCTCGGTTGCTTTTAACTCCGCCGGCAGTCTGCGGAGTCCCCGAAGGTCCATCTAGTTTAAAACAACCGAGAGGATGGAGGAGAGGAGATCTTCAAAGGCGACTCTTAACTACAGAGTTGTTTAGCAGCAGCCTGCAGCAGCTTGTTGCAGCTTGTAGCCTCTGCTGACTGGAGTGTGTCTTCTTCGTGTTGTTGACTGAGGGGATCACAACCTAATGTTAAAGGTGCTTGCGCCACCTGCTGGAATCTACTATGTACTGTTGCACTGGTTGGTTGAAAAGAGATGAACAGAAATAATAATAATAATAATAATAATAATAATAATAATAATAATAACAATAATAATAATAATAATAATAATACATTTTTTTATAAGCGCTTTTAAAAACTCGAAGACACTTTACAATAGTTAAAAACAGAAAGAACAGCACATTAAGGACAGACTAACAGACATTACACACAAATCATAAAGAAAACAACAATAAAGGTAAACTACAGAAAACAGAAAATACTTCACAATCATGCATTAAAAGAGGTGAGTTTTGATAAGTGATTTGAAAGTAGGAGGGTCGGTGCATGGTAAACAATATAAAACACAAGTTTTATTATTTAATCTTCCACAAACAGTATTAGCTCAACTCTATGTACAAAAGTATTACATGTAATATTAACAATAAAACACAAAATGAGCAAAGACGTATATGTACAAGACAATATAACAAAATGTATATACACCACTGAATTCAGAGTACTGCAAACATGCTGAGATAACATGATAATAAAATATGTAACTATGTCACAGATGGATTGATTTACATGAGGTAGAGAGTTTTTAAAGAATTTACATTAAGAGTGTGCACAGATTGATATCAGTGGAGGATTCAAATAAAAACACAGTCTGTACATTATCAAATTATTGACCCTAAAATGAGTTTAAATGATCTTATGTGCAGTGTGTGTTGGATTCAGGGTTACCTGTATTTCACGGTGGTTACAGTTCTGGCACTCTGTGACTGTTTAGCGTTCATCAGAGTGACAGCCTGGGGGAAAAAACTGTTCTTGTGTCGGGTTGTTTTGCTGACAGTGATATGTTATGCCTACTAGAGGTACCTACAGTATATGCATCTATTTCTGCCCTGTCTGTACCTGGGTCATCATTTCACCTGGGATGCATTGTTATTACTCTTTTTTTTTTTCTTTTTTTTTTCTTTACATATTTCAGACACTAATTTACTAATTGTGAAAGAAATACTTTGGAATTACTTGGTATTGTGTAGGCAGCAGGAATAATGAAAAAAAGAAATCTAAAGTAATATCTGTAATATAACCAAATCTTACCAGCGTTTGTCTGTTGCGCTTCTATTAATGTTTTGATAATGTAGTTAGTGGTGATGATATTTCCCTCTTCCCTTTTTTAATCAGGTAAATATAAAAGAAAAATAACATCAATGTGTTTTATTGGAATAAAAGATGGGTTTATGTTTGAGCATTTTGTAGTGCATGGATCAGATCAACACAAACATTAAGTGGGTGATCAGTAAAGAAAGAAAGGTGTTGGGGATCTCTTCTTACAGAGTCATGCATGAAATGTATGCAGTTCTTGGCCACTAGATGGAGCCAGAGTTCCAAGAATGAAGACGTAACAGTTCTAATACTTTGTTGTGTCAATAGATACTGTTAGTGTGAACATTCATTTCCTAAACAAGTTATCTTAACATAGTTAGTTTCTACTTTTGTTAACCCTCAGCCCTTACCAAATAAATATGTACATGCACATTTATCTAATCATCCATCAATCTTCATTTGTACATTGCAAATTCCTTTTAAAAATCATTAACTCAGGACACTTGACAGAAAGAGCAGGTCCAGCAGGTTAAATCTTTGTTAAATTATTTGCATGATGAAGATGCTAAACACGCTATTTAAAATCAAAATCCTCTGAACAATAAGTAACATAACACAGGCCTGGACTCTACAATAACTTTTCAATTTGATATCAAGCAGCATCCTATGGTGTTCAAAAATGAAGCCAACGTGAAAGTGCAAAAAGAGAGAGTGTCCACTTGAGGCTGGGTCCAAAAGACCCATAAGTCCCATATACACCCAGTATTAAAATGTTCATTTTGACAGCAGATATAATCATGTTTACAGCCTGGTACAAAAATACGATTTTGATCTGAACAGCTTATTGATGTATGTTTGTCATAACTCATCTGTTTTGATTTTGTGAAGGATAGGAGTTGTTCATAATGACTGATCTGACTTATCTGTAGCTGTTTGAAAGGAGGATAAAGAGCACCGTCTACCTGCTTGTTACTAGGTTGACCAAAAGTTTAGTTGAGACAGCATTTGCAGAATGGCTTCAGTCACAGGGACTATGCCCATATTTTATACGGTCTATTATTGATAGACAAATGAAAGAAATGATGGGCAGGTATCTAAAGACGTATTTGTAGTTGACAATATTGTTCAGAAGAGTCTCACAGTTCCTGCTCTGTCCTGAACTATCAGTTAAAGAGCCAGGTAGGAGACTGTAGCGTGTGTTCACTGCAGGCCTCCATGACATGACAGAGACAATGAATCAGATGTTAGATTAAAAAAGTTTAAACATGACCCTTCTCAATTTTTTTTAATGCAGGGCCAGAACCTACAATTTCATTTTAACAATACTTGACTATTACTGTTGCATAAATGTTACCAACCACTTCACAATTAACTGTTTTATCATCAAATGGGAATTTATGCACATTTTCCAAACGTCTTGAAGTCTTTTCCCGGGGAATAAAGATATTTGATCACAAAGGGTTAACACAATGAATGTGCTGCCTCAGAAAGAAAGACACTTCCAGAGCATCCAACCAATAACCAAGGCTTGTATCAAAGACGCAGCATCTATCTGAGGAGAACCGTTACTATGTTCAATTACCCTGAAACAATGTGACAATTATTCTATTTAACACTTGGTGCTGGAGGCCTGCAGATAACAGGTAACTACCATGGTTACACTGATGACCACGTCTTTTTCTCTTGATAACACTAATGGGATAAACAACAAAACAACAATCAGCACGCTTATTTGTTTCAGATGTTTTGATCTTCTCTTTTATTTCAGGGTACGACGAGCACATCTGATTCACTCCTCTGTTGAGCAGTGGATGTGATTTTGTTTCCTCCATGTATGAAATGCTTTTTCTTTATCAAAAGAGCCTTGAGTTTCCTTTGTGGGTACATTTTTAAATCACACTCTGAAACAGTCTTTCATGGTGTGTCTTTACAGGATTGTTTTAGTTATTTTTTACAAGTGCCAAAGAGTCTAGACCTGTCTATGAAAAGTGTGTCATAATTTCTAATTCTCATTCATCTTCACTTCTTTGATAAAGTAAAATATCAGAACAGACCTGGGTCAATATTTTTTAAATCCAGCACCCACAGCTTTCTTCAAACATATGACTGGGTGTTTGTCTGTTTCATGATATTACAGTTCAGTACAATTCGAAGTGCATTCAGTAAAAGAGCATCTGTCTTCACTTTGTGAAATGTAAAAAGCAAAGAAAAACCTTACCAGTCTGTTAGAATATTCAATAACAGGACATGAAACAAAGCGAACCTCATCAGTGTTAAGTCTTTTAGGAAAACACCATGAAGTCAAAGCTACACAGAGTTACTTCTTGTGAATTTAAAGCAGATATTTTATCAGTTGCCAGATAGGATATGTTGACCATTTCCATTCTTATTCTCCGAGTAAAACGTTTGCCTGTTGGAGACGGTGAGAACCCAACACTTACACTGAGAAGTTACTCGGTTCAAATCAATGTGAGAAGGAGAAAACTTCACATGGTGTGAGAATAATTATAGGGATGCATAAGTCTCCATTTATTTATCACTTGCATTATTGATCGCCTGACTCTGAACTCGCAGAACAACAGACCTTACTCATTGTTATATTACAAGACCCAACATTAATCCATCAGCAGCACTAAAAGTACAGTGGCAAGAAAAACTGTCTTCAACAGGCAGAAATCTTCAGCAAAACCAGACTCATGTTGAACAGCCATCTGCCGAAACTGCGCCGGGCTTGAAAAATGGGCGTCCAGTCAAGCCATCCACCAATGATCCCGAGAGATGAGAGCTCAAGAGCTCCCAGGAAAATATGTGATTAGTAACTAAGATTTACAGATAGTGACTTGCAGTAATATGATGTCAATGTATATATAGAGAGAGATTATATCTTTATTTTGAAATTATGAATTAGACAAAATACTCTCTCACCTCTACCAATGATTTACAGGCAAAACAACAATAGAAAACCTCATGGATTAAAAGAGCTCTGAATCAAGAGGTTTCTAGAAAACTGACGTGATTCTTCACAAAGTCAGATGTTTGGTTAGACTGACTTCCATCAACCCTCTGGGCTCTGTAGGACTCATTGTAGGCTGGACGGTGTCTGACCTGTAATTCACTTTGTCCCACCTGAAATCAACAACTTCATTGAATGTCAAAGGCAGTGGTGTAGTGCAGGGTATAAGCAGGTATACAGAGTACACCCACTTATTTTACAGTCTCCATAGGATATACTCACTTCTCAATCTCCTCTGATTCATAATATTCAGTAGTATGCTGCAATCTGTTTTCCAGAGGATGGTGAAGGGACTATGTAGTTGTGTCAGCCTGTAGTCTGTTTGTCACTTAAAATGATAAAAC